AATTGACTTCTCACCAGAAAATAGTTGGTGATCACACACTCCTGGGGCAGAAATCTACAGAGGAGTCTCTGGCTTGGAAAACCCAGAGGTGTGGCTCCCGGAGCTGACTGGTAGCCCTGGACCCTGGCAGGCCCATCCCTGAACTCTTTGAGGCCCCTTTTATCCACAGGGAGAAGCCCCCTTCCTGGAAGACTGATCTCCAACAAATCTGAAACACGGTCTTCGAGACCAGACAATAGACACCTTCCTCCAGGTACACACCAAGGTGGACTCACTGCTGGGACCCCCAGAGCAGCAAGGGGAGGCCCCCTACATGGAAAAGCTCCGCAGCCCAGCCAGGCCCCCAGGCACAGGGGCGGGCAGCAGATCCATTCCTTCTGCAGACAACTGGTGCATGCTCCATGCTGAGGTAGGATGCCGCCCTGTCCTCTGGGGGGAGGGCCCCTCTCCCTCACCACCCTGCTCACTTCCTCGGGGTTTAGGCCTCAGCTACTACTGCCTCGCCTGCTGGTTGATAGTCTCGTGGGGAGCAGTTGTCCCCCCACTCACAGGAAGCGGAACCTGTCTGCTGAGGCTATCTGTGGAGCTTCTCTGTCTTTTATTTGAAAGGGGTGGGGGTGGGAAAGGAGGGATAAACTCTGACGTCATGGGCCTGCGTAGGACAGCAGGGTTGGAGGCCATCTGCAGCAGGTGCTGGCAGGGCCCCTGGGAAAGGAAAAGGAGAGCAGCTGGCTCATCAGGTGGGGGTGTCCTGGGGTCAGACAAAGACCTCATGTCACGATGAGGTTAAGCTTTCCTGGAATTTCTGGCCCAGGAAGGATGGATGACACTTCCTTGGCCTCCAACTCCTCTCCAAGGCCAAGCCCTGTAGGTGCAGGACCCCTGGAGGAGGCTCCAAGCTCAAGGAGACCTGGCCAGGCCGTGGTCTCTGTGTCCTCCATGGGTCCCCGCCACCAAACAGTCTCGGGGAGTCTCAAGGGTGCAGGGTCCCCGAGCCCGGAGTGTGTGTGTCTGTGCACTAACTTTCGGAGCTCTCTTCTGCCACAGCTGCTTTGTCCTGCTTCATGCAGGGGTCAGAGCTTCTCATCCGGCCTCCGCACTCACTCTGCTTTTCCCCAATTATAGGTGGTGAAACTGAAGGCCCCATGCAGTGATGGGACTTGGCCAGGATCCTGCTGCAATTTCCCTGCCCGGCCTTCATGAGATCTGCTCACCGCCTGTTCAGTGTCCTCTCTGGGAAGTTATGCAGCTGGAAGGAGGCCCCTGGGATGAAATAATTGCAGAGAAAACAGATGGGCGGCTGAGCAATCCTCCCCTCCTCAGTGTGCCTGAGAACCCTCCTGTTTGGCCCCAGGGCCAGGAGGGGGCGCTGTTCCCCAGGGACCTGGTGACCACCTTCTGGGAAGGGGGGCAGGACAATCCTGCCTTAGCCATCCCTTCCCCAGCCTCCCAGAAGCCCTATGTACCCCTTTCTCACCACAGGTACCCTCATCAAGGCCCTCTCGTCTTCCACAGGGTCCTGCTAAAAAACTGAACATTGACTGTCCCAAGGAAGGGCCTGTCCATGGTAGGTGCACCTGCCCTTTGTGGAGGAGGGGAAAAGGGAAAAGGGACCCACAAGAACGAGATCTTTTCTCTCCATGTCACCACCTTTCAGAAGTCCAGGAGGGAGAAGGGTCCCGGCATGCAATTCTCTAATGCCTGGGGCTTGGCACGCTTCAGCCTGGCTCGGACTTCCCCACTCCCTGCTCCCTCTCTGTGTCCCCCACAACTGACCACTCTCTCTCAGCCTCCTCTTTTATGCACCCCATTCCAAGAGCTCAGTAGGCTCCCACTTTTGGAAGCCAAGCCCCTTCCCCAACTTTATCACATATCCTGCCTCCAGAACCGTCCACCACAGACTTGCCTCTCTCTCAAGCCTGCCTCCTCTGTTCATCCCTACCTGAATGCTAACGCCCCTGCTTCCCTAGGTCTGGGCACTCTGGGTTCTGCAACATCACTGCCCTCCTGCTTCCCTCAGTTTTGCTGGGCTGCCCTTTAGCAAGGGCAAGCTCTCATTTGATTGCTTTTCTTTTATGCACCCGCTCTAAACCTGAATGCATTCTCCCTCAGCCCAAAGGGAAGTTGCTGTTTTCCATCTAGAATCCCCCTCTTTCCTCCTGCAGGGTCTCCGTTCCTGGGTCGGCGCAGGCTTTTCCCTCTCCAGGAAGACCATGCTGTAGTCCAGGCTGGGGGAGCTGCCCTCCCTCCCTGCCTCATCCTCTTCATCCTTACAGAGCTAGTGTCTGCTTCCTGGGGTTCTCTCCAGCCGATGGAACTTTGCAGGCTGCAGGGATACTCAGTGGATACTTGGGGAATCAGTGGGTGGAAAAGTGACAAATGACAGGATTCCCTGCAGAATTGCCAGGCCTTTTCTCTCTCCTTTGCCACCAGGACTTTTCACACTGAGCATTCAATAAAGTGCCACGAACAGCTTTTGTTCCGCTGCTCAGTGGGTCCAACTTTCCCAGGACTGGCTCCTGAGGCCAGAGCAGAAGAAGTGAATCTCATAAAGGAAAAGCTGGAAGGGACTTGAGTGCCCAGTCTAGGCCCAGGAGGGACACAGAGTCTTCTCTGCAGCTTCTCGTGTGACAAAACCAAGAGGGAAGGGCAGGTGAAAACTTCTGTTGCAGTCATGTGCTGACCACCTCCCTCCCTGAGAGTCCCTCCAGCCCAGGCCTAGAATGTCCACCCACCCCACCTCCCAGGCCCCAGCTCAGCAGGAGCTGCTGTACAGCCTGCCCCAGGGAAGCCTTGCTCCACAATTCACTCTAATTTATTCTCAAAGCTCAAAGACAGGGAGACCTGGATAGTTACCTGTTGTCACCAAGCACATCCAAGAGACACAAGACAAGAAGAACCAGCCTACAGACATTCAGACAGAAGGAGGCAACTATGGAGCACTGGAAGCTTCCAAACTGTCCTTAATAAGGGGTTTCAGAGGATGTAGCTATTGCCCCCAGACACCAGCCCAGTGCTTGGCCCTAGAGACAGTCTGCCCAACATAGCTCGTGTAAATAAAGCAAGTCTTAGAGTTAAGTTCCAGATTGCTTACATTCCTTTTTGTCCAGTAGGCAAAAAGGAAAGAGGGCTTTCATTGCCCATCTGTAGATCTTTCCTCTTCCTTTCTCCTCCAATAAAAGAGTGGTGCCACTCTACTGATGTTACCTTGAAGAGGCAATCTGAGGGGGCTGCATAGAGGTGGTGAATCAACTTTCCAGAACTCATGTAGGGTAGCCTGTTTGTGTCTGGATCCTCTTCAAATGCAGGAGATTTTTCTACCCAAACTCAGACCTCAGGTGTAGGTTATTTTAAACAGAGGGTCCTAGAGCATGGTTGGTTGGTGGCATTTTCAGTGTGCCAGGGTAGGATGTAGAGAGCCGTTACCTCCCAGCTTTGGGCCCAGGAGCTGCTGCAGATCCACCTCCTAGTACCTGATTCTCCCACATCTCTAGATTCCAGCTGCCCTTCCTCCTCTGGTGCAGCTTCCTGTCCCGAAAAAAAGGCTCATTCCCACAACCCCGGGGTCTCAGACTGGAAACTGTCACTACGCCCTGGCTGTTGACCCCTGTAAACTAGCCCAGTGCCTGGCTCTAAAGTCAGTCTGCTGGGCTCCTTAAATCCATGTAAATAAAGCAGGTCTAAAGAGAAATTCCAGGTTGGCTACATTCTTTGTTCAGCAGGCAAAGAGGAGAGGGAATTCCATAGCCCACCTGGAGCTTCCTCCCTCTCCCGGGTTCCCTCCAGCCCAGTCCTGCTGAGAGGCAGCTGAGGCATGGTTTTCCGCACCCCACTCAGTTCGTGAGCGGCTGGGCTCCCCGCCTCCGTGGCCCATTCAAAGGAACTCCTCAGACCCGAAGGATCAGACACTTTGCCCGAAGAGAGGGAGTCGTGAGCAGCTACAACAGAGCTTCTCTATGGCGAAAACGCGAAGGCAACCACCTGCCACGGCTTGCCAGAGCCATACTAGGCTCGAGACTGGCTAAAGAACCCTCTCCAGCGTGTGCAGGTGCACAGGACACTGGAGCGCACAACCCCACCCTGTGGATCCTCGAGTGGGTGCAGACAGGGTCAGGTGCGCCCCCGTCGGTGCAGACGAAAGCCACCGCAGGGTCAGATACAGGGACTGTCTGTACGACGGAGTTGGGCTGAAGGAGCACTTGGAACCACAGTGGCGGGCACAGGATGCTATCGAACACACGCGGAGGCACCTGCATCTCCGGCCTGCCCTGGTGGCCCACCCCGTTGCTCTTTGCTCTCAAACACACCTCTGGCGAAAAGCTTGCACTCTCCAATGTAGGACTTGCGCTCCCCCCTGCGGCCCAGGGCAAACCCCGCTACCCCTGCGCCCAAGACCGCGACCCCGTTCTCTGCCTCCCCATTCCAAAGGCTTCCGCGCGATCTGAACTCCTGGCGAGCAGATAAACGAGGAGCCTCAGCGCCAGGTCTGAGCCTGTCAGGCACCCTGGGAAGAGTTTGGCAACAAAGCAGATCTGCGTAGATTTCGAGCTGTGCCAACTTTCTGGCCGTGTGACTTCGGGCAAGTGACTTAATTCCTCTGAGTCTGTCTTTGCACCTGCAAAGCGGGAAAGTGATCCCTTCCAGGAGAGGGTGTGTACTGAGGTCCAAGCGTGTATGCAGGGCATCCGGAGCGCCGACGCTTGGCACGCCAGGGCGCACGCTTGCTGCAAATGGAGTTCCCTTGTGCGCGCCACTTTGCAGCTCTGAGTGCAGTCGGGAGAGAGCCGGCCTAGCTGCGGGATCCCTCTGGGGTGAGACGAGGGTGGGGGCAGAGGGGGAGCCCCCGCGGCCCCCTCCCAGCCGTCGGCGCGCGTGCCATTGGCCCTGGCGGCCGGGTGGGCGGGGGGATGACATCAGCGGCAGGTTGGATTATAAAGGCGCGAGACGAGCCGCGGGCTCAGAGCGCACTCAGCCGGCGCCGCGCAGCTCTGGGACCCGCGTCCGCACAGCAGCCCCGCCAGCCCGCTCCGCCTCTGCCTGAGCATCTGCCCTCGCTGCCTTCGGCGTGTGCCCCTCTGCCCCAAGAGCACCATGCACCTCTCTCAACTGCTGGCCTGCGCTCTGCTGCTCACCCTACTCTCGCTCTGGCCCTCCGAAGCCAAGCCCGGTGTGGCGCCGAAGGTGGGTGCAGTCGCGGGGATGTCGGGACTGTGAGAGGGTTGTGTGGGAGGGTTGGGGCGTCTAGGAGGATGCGGCCTACAAGGGGAAGCAGAGAGGGCGGTAAGGTGCCCCCCTTTCCTGAGATGCGCTCGGGTGAGAGTCGGGAGCCCTGGAAGCTCAGATTCGGGGCGGGGGCGGGGGGCGGTCTACGTCCCCAGCCTCGGGAGAACGTCGACAGATGCGCAGCCCCGACCCCAGTGTGGCCAACCGAGCAAGTGGCAAAGGAAGGGAGGGTAAGGGGCTCCCCGAGGGAGCGGAAAACGGCGGCCGCGTGGCAGGTGGATGCAGGGCCGAGCTGTCCAGCATCTGTAGAGGCGCGCTCAGGACTCGGAAGGGACAAATTGCGCTGTCCGGCGCGTCAGGCTGGAACATCAGGGGCCCCGCAAAGTCCCCGGCCGTGCGTCCCTTCACCTACATGCTCTTTTCCTCGGACAGGGCCCGCGAACTCCGCTAGGGGAGGTGTCAGCCGTGTCCCATGCTGAGGGCGGCGGTCAGAAGAAGCGCGACAAGACTCCCGGAGGCGGTGGCGCCAACATCAGGGGCGACCAGTCGCGACTGCTCCGGGACCTGCGCGTGGACACCAAGTCTCGATGGGCCCGCCTTCTGCAGGAGAACTCCAACTCACGCAAAAACAAAGGCACCAAGAAGGGCTCGTCCAAGGGCTGCTTCGGCCTCAAGCTGGACCGGATCGGCTCCACGAGCGGCCTGGGATGTTAGTGCGGCGACCCCTGGCGGCGGTGAGTACCACCAACCTGGCCGCCTGGCGCTCCTACACACCTAGCTCCCCCGCAGCGCCCGCCAGAACTTAGCCTGAACCCCCACCCGCAGGCCGTTCCTCTGATCCCCTAGCCCCGGGATCGGTAGGCCTCCCAGTGACCTTTGGAGGGGAACCAGGCTATACGGTCATGAGATGACGTGTGTGTGCTACGCATTTGCCCCCAACCCTATTTATCATCCCGTTTTACAGATGGATGAAGTGAGGGATGAAGTAGTGAGGGAACTTTCGAAAGGTCAGAAATGGCCCAGGATGGCTGAACCCACCTGGCTTCCTCTGGAGAAGCAGACAGTTTGGAGGGCTCCAACCCATAAGTAGGGCTCTGGACCATAAGTAGATCCGCAGCACTGGCTCCAATTTGCCAAATGGGAACATTGAGGGACGGTCTTGGGTTTGTGGGAACAGAGAGGAAAGGCATACACACAAGCCCAGGGTAAGTTGATCTGCCAACCACTGTATCCTGGTACCAGGCAGTAGGCAGCCCAGAGGTCAGGATGCTTCCTAGGTCTTTTGTTCCTAAAGTGGGACAGACTTTGAGAAATATCTGCCTCCTCACTGTAGAGAGAGTAGCCCTCTGTTGGCATCACCAGAGAGCTTTTCTGCCTCCAGAGCATTCTGATTCTTGTCCCTTCTCTAAACAGTGACTGTGGGCAAACTGGTCTGTCCAGGGTCCTGATGCTGCTGCAGCCCCTGTGACTTCAGGATTGAACCTCAGTGTCTGTGGCACTATTTCAGGTCAAGGAAAAAGAGACTAGAGAACCTCCTCTCCTTACCTTCTTTCCATTCCTGCTGCCAGTCAGTGCCCAAGGAAAAGCCACATCCCAATCTTTAAAATCGACATTCCAGTGCTTTAGAATCTGACTGCTGCTGGTTTCCAGCCTTCCTGCAGCCCGGCTGCTGCCGTTCCTTACCCCACACACAGCCTGTCTGTTCCACTCCAGGCCACGCTGTTCTCTCACCCACGAAGCCTGAGCAGTGTCCACGCTCTGTTCCCCCAGAGGGTAACAAGCACACCCTTTATGAAACGCTCCAGCACATTGCCTAAGCCTTTTTTTTTTTTACGGTTGTCCATGTAAGAAATGTCCAAATCTGTAAAGAATTTTTATGAGTTTATTTGAGCCAATCTGACAACATTGCCAGGAAGCAAGATCTCAAATCTCGCTCTGAAGAATAACAGTTTTGCAGTTGATTTTCTACATTCGGAATTCAGGAGGGAACTAAAAATTACATGAAGGTGGGAGAAAGCAAGGCATAGATTGGATTACAGGACAGCTAACAAGATCACATGATCTCTTGAAGGCGGTTATGCTTCTGAGAGGTCTGAAAGAGTCATTTCAAAGGTGTTAACCTAGATGCACAGAAACAATGGCAGAGTTTAGGGCTTGCTTAAGGCAAAGATAACCTTTTACTGAGGAAGTTATAGGCCTGAGGCAGGACTACCCACCATGACCGGCCCAGTTAGGAATTTATGATCATATTATCCTGTGACATTACTTTCCACAGAGCGCCTTCTTTGTCCACAATTCCCCGTTTTGGCTATAAATCAATCCGAAGGATGCACTGATGGCCAGGCTTTTGTTTGGATAGTTTGGTCTCACAGCACTAAGAAGTCTCAGTCCTAGGTAGTCTAGTCTCAGTATCGAGAGCCTCTTGTTGACCTTTGGGATGGGGCAATACTGTAGCCATGGGAGGTCAGCTGAGGATGAATTTTCCCAAAAAGGAAAGGGCAGGTAAATGGAAGACAGTCAGGTTGTGTGGCCTACCTTGTGAAAAAACACTCTGGATCATTTCTATCCTGTGAACTATCATGATACGAGTTTTGCTGTCTGTCTTATTTTTCTGAATTTAGCATCTAATGTAACATTTACATAAGCCATAAAAAGAGTATCAACAGTTATTTTGTACATGTTCAGTAATCTTAAATAGTTGGACTATAACTCAAAGAATAAGTATCACTATTTTGATGGCTAATACCGTTAGCAATCAAACAAAATGGTCTCTGACTTTAACATCAATCCATAGGTATTCAGACCTTGTTGATGTCTTGGTATAGCTGTCTGCCTCTGCTGTCAACAGCTTCACATCCTACAGGTACCTTTGTGTGCCTTGTAGGCGGAGGCAAGTGTAGGTGTCATTCGTGGTTAGGTGCCTGAGAAGGTCCCTTCCAAGGATGTTGGAGAGTGTCCCTTTATTTGATGTCCTTTCTAAAAAACAATATCTGGACTCTTTGTCTTCAGGGAGCGTTCTGTGAAAGAAAGTTGTTATCAATTTAGCATTTTCTTGAAGTATTTTATCAAAACTTTGCAATAGTGTATGATGCCTCCTTTCAATAATGTCAGGTCATAAGTTCCTTCATCTCATTTACATACGGCTTGGAATCCACTATGGTGCATGAAGGAATACAAATCTGGAAAATGGGGGTGTGCCAGGGCGCCTGGAGAAGCAGGCGGCTGTTTGGGGTTCCCATCTCCCAAGTCACTTATTTCCAAAGCAGCCCACGCAGTATTACATAAAAACAAATCTTTGCAGGTGTTGCAGGGCCTTCAGGAATACTGCAAAGTTACTGTAGTTTTAATTACAAAGGTATATTGAGATTTTAAACCTTAAAAACCTCAATTTCTAATGGAAACAAACAAGTCATTTATGAAGACATTTTATAAACTCTAGAAACGTATTTGATAAACATTAAAGTCAATTAGTAACATGGATTAAGCCAACAAACTTAAACTAACTTTACTAAAGGTGAATCTTAGATCACATGAACTTGAGAAAAAAAATGGGTTAGTTTCTTTATTTCTAAGAATTTTAGAATTCTCAATCCTTATAAGCGTTTGCTTTCAAATCAATTAACTTATTAAATTAATTTTAACAATACCTTCCAGAGGTAGAAAATCATCTCATATTTACAATGTACACACACATATGCAGAGACCTTTTAGCCATGAGAAAAATATCACTAGTTTATATAAAAAACAGTGGATCCATATTTTGTGACACAATTTGTATCTGTCCTTGACAAGTCAAGTTGCAAATGACCTTCCTCGTTTAAAAATAAGGACAGCTGGTTTTTTGTTTGTTTTTGTTTTTAAATATGTTTTATTGACTTTTTAGAGAGAGAGGAAGGGAGAGATAAAAACATCAATGAGAGAGAAACACTGGTCGGCTGCCTCCTGCACGCCCCCCATTGGGGATCAAGCCCAAAACCCGGGTATGTGCCCGGGCTGGGAATTGAACCAGGACCTCTCAGTCCATGGGACAGTGCTGAATCCACTGAGCCACACCAGCCAGGCAAGGACAGCTGGTTTTTAATACCTCAAAGAATTGAGTTACCACCTAAACAACATAGGTTGATCCTTTTTTTTTTTTTTGAAACTTTGAGAAACCGATTAAAATATGCTTTCCATTCATTCCCCCTAATTTTACAGTCAGCTTTTTCTAATTGTGCACTCACGAGATTAATTTAGAAGTATGGAAAGGATCCTCATTTCAGGCATCTTGCTACAGGCACGACAGTGGGAGGCTGACTGTTGTGGGCTTGTTGGCCTCAGAGGCACAATTTCCCTTGTTAATTTTGAGATCTGTAGAGTCTGAACAAGCTTCTAGGGAAAACCAGCCTTCACGTGCCGTCTCTGGACGAGCCAAATGCTGTGGAAATCCCTCTAGGGCTGCTTCATGCTCTGCAGGGAATTTTCCCTCCGGCAACCCCTCAAAGATTCCTAGTCATCTAAAAATACCCGAGCAAGGGCCAGCAAGAGCTTCCCGAAGCCACCAGAACCACGATGCTCCCCAAGCATGGGTCCCTCTCTCGGGGTGCCCTCCCTTCACAAAGAACTCTCCCCCAGGGCTCCCACTGGCTTCTCCGGACGGGTTGCATTACTGCCCTGGACGCCTCACAGAGCCCATCTCCACCCTTCGGACTGGGATCTGCAGCAACTGTCGTCAGCATTGGCTCTCGGGCTGGGGAAGCAAGTGTCCTTCCTCTTCTGGAGCTAAAGAGAGTTCTGTCTCTCATTTAACCTGCACAGATTTTGTTCAGACCTTCAGTGATCTATCCAATTAAAAACGGAAATGAAAAGCAGCAACCCATTTTTCTTATCCTTTTCTTGGGTTATCCCAATCCTTATTTACCTTGAGGATTTTCTAAGAACAGCTCGAATAAAGACAGGGCCTGCAAAAATAAAATAAAAATAAATAAAAAGACAGGACCTGCTACTTAAAGAAGGAGATCCGGAATTCCAAGAGAAAACTCATCCAGGTTCACCTGATTTGAAACAAGGAGCCGGTGGGGTACAAGGGGCCCATGCTGGTACCAAGCACTGGGTCTGGGTCTGTGGGGAAGTTCTGGGTGGGCTTCTTCAGAATCCTGCCAACAATGCCAAGTACATGTTGATGTAAGAAACGTCCAAATTTGCAGAGAATTTGTATGAGTTTATTTGAGCCAAACTGACAACATTGCCAGGAAGCAAGGTCTCAAATGCTCCAGAGAGTGACAATTTGTAGTTTCTTTTATGCACGTGGAATTAAGGAGGGAACTGAAGAAGAGTACATGAAGGTGGGAGACAGCAAGGCAGGGATGGATTACAGAGTAGTTAACAGAATTACTGTTCTCTCTTTTTTTTTTTTAATCCTCATCCGAGGACATTTTTCCATTTTTTGTACAGACAGAGTGGGAGGGAGAGAGAGGAAGAGAGAGAGAGAGAAACATCGATGTGAAAGGGACACATCGAGTGGCTGCCACCCGCACGACCAACCAGGGCCGGGGACAAACTGCAACTGAGGTACATGCCCTTAGCGGGAACCGAACCCGGGTCTCTCCAGACCGCAGGCGGACGCTCTAACCGCTGAGCCAAACCGGCCAGGGCAGAATTACTGTTCTCTTGAGGGTGGTTACGCCCCTGAGGGGTCTAAAGAGGATTGCTCTAGCATTTCCAAGGGGTGTTAAGCTGGATGCACAAAAATGGGCAGGTCTGGTTAGAGCAAAGATAAACATTTTACTAGGGTAGTTATAGGCCTGGGAGGTGACTGCCCACCATGACCTGCCCAGTTAGGAATTTATGGTCAGACCACTCTGTGAAGTTACATTTTGTTACATTTATTACAGCGCCCCTTTTTTGTCCACACAACCAGAACACTTTGTCACCTCAGCTATAGTTGCCTCTTCAGATAATCCATGAGCAACTGAAGGTGACCTGCAGCACCCCTGTGTCAGTGACCTCACAGAACCCTGCCCCACCCAGCTCAGGGGCACACCTCCCCCACCTGCCCTAGGTTTTAGCTGGTGCCTTTCTTCTCTGCAGCCAGACTTGCTTTGTTTGTCTGACTCAGCCCTGCACGAAGATAGATGATTCTGTCACTTGGGGCCCAGACTCTGGTAGCTACCACTGCAATGGCTTTGCTCTCTTTTCTCCAGTCTAAACAACAAAGAGTTGGAGACACGGGCTTCGAGTTTTTCACTTGTGAATTAAGCACCAAGCTCAAACTTGAGAATGTAAACAAATGCTACTCCGTGGGTTAGCAGCAGATGAGATGAGGGCCTGGAAGGTACCTGGCATGCATGTCCCCACGGGCTCCTTGTTCTTGGGTGCGGCTGTTGGTACCAGATGATGATCCAATGGGCGCTGTGCAGGAGGCTCCAGATTGCTAAGACTTCTCAGCCCCTTTGTCCAGGGAAATTGGTCAACCTCTGAAAGTTATTTTAGCTGAACACCCACCTGCAATGCCCTTAACCTTCTGAATCCCACCTTCACCACCACCCCATCCCTGTGGCCTTAGCTCTAAGCAGCCACCATAATGACTGTCGCTGATGGTTATAGTCTTGATTATAAAATACTAATGACAGAGACAGGGTGTGGCCCATGCCTGAATGAACACCTTGCCTAAGGGCTCCAGGGACATCACAGACATCTGTCATCCGTTTAAACACATGAGATGGCCAGAGAAAGGAGCTGTGGGAGAGGTCCTCAGGCCGCTGAGGCCCGGGCCCCTCTGCACGTGCTGCTCTGTAGGGCACGTGCTGCTCTATGGGGCACCGCGGCATCTCAGGAGGAGCCTTCCTGCAGCCCCGGGCACCTGTGCGCCCATTAGCAAAGCTGCACGGGCCTCATCCAATGACTGATAACTAACCCCAGCAAACCCGGTGTGCCCATGCACTTCCCAAGGCTGGTGAGACACCAGTTCCTCTGCCTCTGCAGGAGACCCTTTTCAAGGTGACGCTAGCTGGGGAAGGAAGCTGTTTACTGAGTGGCAGCTGTGACCCAGATGCTCTGCATGGCCCTTTGTTGAATCTTAAAGCCGGTCCTGGGAAGTGGCTATTATCCCATTTTATGGGTGAGGAAAGCGATACCCAAAGCTTTCCAGGGCTGTCCAGGAAATAAATATCAGAGCTGAGGTTTGACTCCTCGGATGCTTCTTTCCCGCCACTGGCACCCAGACACCTGAAGCCGAGGCAAGGACCTCACGAGGGTCTGGTATAGCAGGGAAGGAAGAGATGGGCCGTCTCCACTCCCTCCTCCTCCCTGCAGTTAGCTGAGGGGAGAGGGCTGGGGCGGGAGGAGCCCTGGTTCCACCTGGGCTGGGGCAGGAAGGGCAGAGCTCACAGCAGGAGGGGAGGTGCGGCTTGAAAAAGGCAGAGCAAAGGGCCCCTCTCCTTCTACCAGGGGCACAGGTTGGGGGACACTGCTTCCTGATGCTTCGGGAAAGGGGAGGAAGGTTCTAGAACTGTCTGGCAGGCTGGGCTTTCTCAGCTAAGGGACCAGCACTGAGCGTCTCGTGTCCCCTCTGTGTTTCAGGATTGGGAACTTGCTCCGTTGTGCTGAGGTCATCCGTGGTCGTGGGGAAGAACCTCCAAGGCAATGTGGCTTTTACGTTTCTCTCTTTTTTCCCCCTTGTGGTACTGGGAATACACGACACCAGCTGTGTTATTATGATTTGGGGAGGGGGGTATGATTCTATTGTTTGTTTGTTTTTGAAAATGAAAAATAAAAAGTTATATATTATATATATATATGATATACATGAAACACACCTACACCGACATGACAAGGGACAGTTTTTAAGAGACTGACAAAACCAGCTGTAAACATTGCTGTTTGTAAATTCATGTCATGCATAAATGTATTTATGTTGTAAAGCTATTTATATTGTTTATAAAGAGATATTTATAAAAATTTTATTTATGTAACTAAATGAAAGAAGTCAACCATTGTAATGTTTTTGTCTTATCTAGTTGAAAAGTGTAAAAAAAACTCATTCCGTGAACAACTTGAAACTGTCTTTATTTACTCATTGCATTTACTTGCAGGAAGTAGTCTGAGCAAGAGGGAAGTGTAGAAGACAAGGCCTTTTGCCTCAGCAGATCTCAGGGCAGGGCTCCCGGTTCTGCGTTTCTCTGTACCAGATCCCTGATCTACTGAATCTGCGTCTCCCGGGATGGGGTTGGCCTGTGGATCCTGTCCCGAATGGTTCTGATCAGGTGACCAGGTCAAGAAGCCCTGCCCAGAGCACCTGACAGCTGGGAGGTCAGAAGCCATTAATTCAATTAAAATTGGATTTAGCTGACTGAGGGTCCTCTATTTCTATTGCACCTTCCCTCTGTTTGGGGGAGATTTCGAAGGTTCCCCTGTGTCTTGCAGAATTGGTCAGGTCACCTTATGAAGCTTAGCAATTCTGTCATAGACTTGCTCACGGAAGCACGGGGTGGGCAGTTTTTACCTCATCGGGAATGCCATGGTCAGTGTGGGAGGGGGTCCCAGCCCTGGGAGAGAAAGGGGACGTACCCCCGGTATCACACTTGCACAGCGAGGGGTGCTGTGCGAGGGGGCTGTGGTTTTTCTTTCCACTCGAAGCCGCTGACAGTTATGGTTCCTGTGCCCACGGAGCCTTGAATGCGAAATGAGTACTTAGGATCTCTTCCTAGAACCAGCAGGAAACTTGAAGTAATTCCCAGGTAATCTCACTACATCCTTGATATGGTGACACTCTGACACAGCCTCCCTCGTATGTCTTCTGCCCCCCATTTGGTAAAAGTGGGGACATTAAGAGCCTTCAGGCTCATTACAGCAGGTGGGCCTGACCCCACTCAGGGCATTGGGAGCTGTGACCCCAGGATCATGGCGTCATAGGCCCCGCTGAGCAGTTCCAGAGGAAAATCAGCTCTGGGGGAGGTGGCCAGTGAGCCGGCCCTCCTGCTGGCATCTGAGCCCCATAACCTTTGTTCCCAAGTCATCCTCCAGCAGCCGGTTCTCAGGTGCGTGGGTGGCCAACACAGTGACCTCACCCAGGCAAGGAAACCACTTTTAAGAAAGGTTCTGCTCAGCCTGTGTGGCTCAGTGGTTGAGTGCTGACCCAGGCACCAAGAGGTCACTGGTTCAATTCCCAGTCAGGGCACATGCCTAGGTTGTGGGCCCGATCCCCAGTGAGGGCATGCAGTAGGCGGCCAATTGATGTTCTCTCTCCTCAATGTTTCAATCTCTCTCTCCCTCTCCCTTCCTCTCTCTAAAATCAATAAAGAAAAACATATTTTAAAATAAATAAATAAAAATTTTAAAAGAAGTTCTGACTGGGGAAGATTCCAGGCCTTCCCATATCCTCAGCTTCCACCACTGCCGCAGGGGACAGAACTCGGGTTCTGTGAGAGCCGGGAGAGGGGTTCCAGCGCCCAGGTCCCCCGTGGGTCAGCTCCCGGTGCTGTGCACAGACCTGTGTGGGCGACCCAGAGGCAAGGAGGGAGGGCGGGAGGGAGGGAGTGGCAAGAGGAAGCGGGTGCCCTGTGGGCTCTGCTGGTGGCGAGTCAGGCACATCTTCCCAAAGTCTAGTGACACAGAGGTGGCAAATCTGGGACTCAGGGAGCCACCTCCAGAAGCTAAGTTCTTCCTGTGGACAGTTTCTGGGGCTAGTAGGACACTCGGGCCTAGGCTGCACACGCTGTCCTCCCAAGAGACTCGCATCACCTCGATTGCCCGCGAACAACAACATGCACGACCCTCTCGTGCCAACTTCCGCCCCCCAGCCTGCTGTTAGAATGTCACTGGAGGCCAGCTCTCCTTTGACATGCAAACCTGAAATCCCGAGACTGCTTCCTTAGCAACCAGAGGGTCATGTCATCCAGCCAGGAATTTCTGCTGGAAAGCCAGGAAGGATCAACAAATATCCCCTAAGGATCAGGAAGAGTTTGGAAACTTCCAAAGATGGCCCAGGTGGTTTTAGCCAAGAGCCTCCCGTCCTCTGGCAGGGGTCTTGCCTCCTCCCTCGGCACGGGCATCTCCCCTCCACAGCCTGGAGGACCTGCAGCTTCTCTCGAACACGAACACGAACACGAACACGAACACGAACACGAACACGAACACGGGTGACCGCAGCAGCCAGGACCAGCTGGGAGAAACGGCTCCAGGGACAGACAGCACTCCACAGTGTTACAGGGTCCCTGCGAAGGGTCAGCGGCGCTGGGCGGAGGCAAAGAGGACTTTGGGTGCTGGAAGTCCTTAGGCCTCAGGGTGTCCCAGAGGAAGCCATTCCCTTCCCTGAGGTGCTCGGTTATTGGGGACTCAGGGTGGAGCAGGGAGAGGAGCGGAGACCCTGCTTGGTGGAGGCGTCCTGGTGCTGGGCCACAGTGGGTGACATGGAGGAGCCCTGCAGATCTGGGCCCAGGAGCCCACCTCAGGCTACGAAACATGAGTGCAGCAGAGGCCCGGTCTCTCAAGCCCCTACCACGAGGTGATGGGGTGTGGGGGAGGCAGGGCCTCCGGGTCCTCTGCTGGGCACATGGTTCCAGGAGCCTGCCTCCCCCACTGCCCAAGACCTGGGGCTACGCACAGCGGGGGGGAGGGGGGGCCTGCAGGTGGTCAGAGGCCTGCCCTTCTGTAGGAAGAGCTCTCCTCAGGCAGCTGGTGGGGTGGTGACTGAGGGTACCCCACCCTCGGTTAGGAAACAACAGTCAGAGTCCCTCAGAACGGGAATCTGACTCAGCTGGTTCACAGGATGATGCTTTTCTGAGGCGGGGCAGGGCCGACCCAGGAGCGCTGTGGGAAGCCAGTCTCTCCGCTAGGTGAAGGCAGGGAGCTGTCCCTGGGTGGGACCCGGGTGGAGGGGTCATCCTGAGGGAGCTGCACCGTGATGCAGGATGCATGGCCAAAGCAGGGCAGAATGAGGGGGAAATACCCAAGTTCCCCTTGCTGGTGTGTCCAGTTGGCTGCACCCAGCAGGCACCAGCCCGCAGGGGGTCAGGCAATGCGGCCTCAGCCCTCAGGACAGGGAGGTGCCGGGCAAACAGACTCAACAGCCCCAGAGGGCCTTGGTCTCAGCAGGGGTGCGTCTCCCTTTGGCAGATGGGGGGCTGAGGGCTCCTCCCCAGAGCCAGTCCCTTGTCTTGATGGCAGGACACAGAGGATTAGCTGGGGCAGAAGTGTGGCCACCGTGTGACTGTGTGACCTCAGCTCTGGTTCTGGGAGAGGGCCCAGCTTCACTGAGCTTCCTGGAGGGTCACCCCTCCTCCCTCCATGCCCACCGGGAGTGCCAGTCAACAAGGTCCCCTCCCCGGTGGCGCATTGCCTGATGTTCTCTGTCCTATCCTGGTCCGGGCTCTGGACAGATACTGTTTCTGCGGGGAAGGGACAGGAGCAGAAAGGGTACCCGGTGAGCTCCTGCCAGTCCCCAGTGCCAGTCCCCTCCAGGGCAGACCTACATAAAGTAGCCTGCCCGAGCCCAACCATTGCATTGTCTGCATTTTTTTCATTTCTTTGCAGAAAGTTTTTCATGTCTCCCATTCGCTTTTCATCTCATCTTGTTCCCTTTTCCTCTGACTCTGTTGCCTTTTCATTCCAGCTCCTCATTCATAGACACCACATCCTCCTGCACCCTGTGTAGAATGCACCACAACTTCCTGAACTTTCTTCTCGGTCCTTCTGCAAATGCATTTCAGAGGCCAGTCCCCTGCACATTCTGAAGGTGTGAGAAAGATGTTGGGAAAGTGGCAGAACCTCAGAAATGGCAGGAAAATAGCCTGATACTTACAAGGTATCACCTAGGAGATCAGAGAGTCCCTGACCAACTTCCGGGTGGTTCAGAGCCTGTGGCTCTGAGTGGAGACAAGACCTTGGGGAGCTGGATGTTTGCTTGATCCTGATGAAGGCATTTGGCCCAGGGGCCGTAAGCAAGGATGGGCTGGGTGTTCCTCTCTCTGGCATCTGATTAGTGTCATTTCTTCCTGATTCTTCCTGGCTCTGGCCTCACCTTGCCCGGCAGTGTCACTTTGGATGCTGTGAGTCTGGGTCCTCGTCTCACCTTCCTGAGTATGTGGCTCCTCCAAAGCAGCTTGGAGCCAGGCACTGTTTTGCTAACAAATTCTATTTAGATTTGTGAGGAGCGGAGGTTCATTTTTTTCTTTTTTTCCCTTTTTCAAAATACCAGGATACAAGGTCTTATATTAATGTCATTATTTTGCTATTTTCTAAATAGTTTATCTTTGCTTACATATTTTTTTACTTAATACTGGTGTTTATATTGGTTTTCTTAACACTTTTTTGTACCTTTTCTAAGTTCTTAATTGAACATTTATTTCTGAATATGGCCATATTCCTAACCCAAAGTTCTGACTTATTCCATTCTCACTTTTTTTATCTTCTAAGTAGTCTGTTGAATTGATTTTTAATTAAACAATTCAAAGTGGAGTTTAATTGTTTCTTAATTTATATTGTTAATTTTAGGTTTATTGAGGTTAGGTTCAATGCTTGTAAATTTTCTGCTTTATTAAATTATTTCTTCCTATGTTTTAATCAATGTTGTAAATGCTTTATGGATACTTTGGAAATAAGATGGATATGTGTTTGCACAGTTTGAAATTCTATAAACATTTAATCCATTTCACCTTTTACAGTACTATGCCCAAATCTTCTAGCCCTCTCTCTGTTTGATTCACTGAAGACTGATAAATGATGT